TTCAGAGCCTTGCCAAGAAACCACGGAGGAAATCACGGAATGCCAGAATTGTTTGGGTTGGAAGGCCTTAAAGACCATCCAGTTCCAACCCCCTGCCATGGCAGGAAAGCCATAATATCCTCTGGGACAGAAGATAAGGCACTGCTTGGCTTTATTTGAAAGCTCTGGATGTTTGGTCTTCAAAAAATGACAGTTTATCACTCATGACCCCAGATAATATTAAACCTCGAGTGTTTTCCTGGGTGGTGGGGGTGGCCTGAGCTCCCCCTGCTCTCCAAGCCCGCTGCCAGTTCCCAGTGCCACCTTTGTTGTGTCCTTGGCTTTGCAGAAGCTGAAGCACACGGAGAGTGACAAGCTGCAGGTGCAGATCCAGGCCTACCTGGACAACGTGTTCGACGTGGGGGCTTTGCTGGAGGACGCCGAGACCAAGAACGCGGCCCTGGAGAGGGTGGAGGAACTGGAAGAGAACATTTCTCACGTCAGTACCACGCCTTGGCACCTTGGGCTCAGCTCAGAGGGACCTTCTGGGAGGTGGGAGCACGGGCAATGCAGGGCCACAGCCTTGGGAGTAAGGTTGGAAAGGCATTACATTAAAAAAAAAAATTACATTTTAAGGGATTTATTGCAGAATAGACTTTCTCATCTGGACAGGTTCATAGTTATGGTCCACCCAGGCACCTGCTGGTCGTGGCTGAGGGGTGACCTTCATCACAGGAACCTTCAGTGGGGCACTTGAGGTCCCTCATCTCAGGCAGGAACCCTCTTTATTTCCAAAGGAAGGCCTCAGGGTTTGGTGGAATATCCATAATAACCATGTCCCACTGCTCCAACAAGTGTCCTGATGTTCTGATGGATAAAACTACAGTTTTCCACTTAATTAATCTATTCCTCTTTGGGTTGATAGTTATCTGAAAAGCTCCAGGATACGGAGAACGAGGCCATGGCCAAGATTGTGGAACTGGAAAAGCAACTTATGCAGAGGAACAAAGAACTGGACGTGATCCGGGTGAGTGGGATGGGGGAGGCTCTGCCTGGATTCCAGGGAACCCCTGGACTGGGGCAGGTGATGGGGCTGGGGCAGGTGGTGGGGCTGGGGC